GGAATTGACCAAGCTGACTGTCGAGAAGAAGTTGTAGCCGTCTTTTTCAACCCTTCAACTTTTAGCCTGAGGCGGTAGCTTGGCCTATCGTTTGGGTGTTACCACCGGAGTATTTGAGAATGCATAATAAGTTCTTGAGTTAGTTATTGAGCTTAATTTTAGATTTCCGAGGACAGAAATCGTTTAAGGAGGATAGATTGTAGCGCCCCGTTTCTTTTCAGCTAAATCATAGCATTGTCATCGGTCAACTAAGTTTAAGTCTCGTTGTTTATTTCTTCTTATTTGCTCTTGTTTGACTTAAATATCCTAAATGTTACATATGTTTTGTGATTTATTTGCGTACGTGATTATTTGGTTAATTTCTTAATTGATTATTTGATTAAGTGATTAGCTGTCTATTTTATTTGACTACGTGACTATTTGATTATTTACTTATGTGAACATTTGATTAATTTGCTTAATTGAGTATGGATTAATTGCCTAATTGAATTATGTGATTAAGTGAATTATATTCCCTTAAGTAAATTACGTGATTAGGTGAATTATTTACGTAAGTGAATTATGTGATTATGTGAATTAATTGCCTAATATAATTATGTGTTTAAGTGAATTATTTGTCTTGAGTGTTATTTTATTTTTTCCTTTAATTTACCTAAGTGGTTAGTTAATTTATATTAGTCTTAATTTATATTAGTCTAAATTCTTATTGCCTAAAAGCCCAAGGAAAACCGACCAAAGTAGTTAATTGAACACTCAGGCCCGAGTTTTGGCCTTGAGCAGCAGCCAATTTCAGCTTATAACTCTCTCAGCCCAATCTCCCTCAATTTTATCGTTCATCAGCCTATCTCCCACCTGAGTATCGACCCTTCATCATTCTCACTCCAGAGCGACGCATATCGCGATTGCAGCTCAACCGCTTCCCCCAATATCCGGCAACAATCCTCGCACGTCTTCCTCCCCTCCAAGCCCTAATTTTCCACTTATTTAAGGGGACCTCCATCATCCGCCACTCTCATTTACTCCCTCAGTAAAAAGGGTCCGCATAAATTCAATCAATTGTTCCGGCCACTCGACGAACAACAAGCTCGACCTTCAATATCGAGTCGCGATCCGACCTCGTGCAGCGAGCTGCGAACTCGAGCCCATTTTCCCAGCGAAGGGACGAACGACGACTCTCGACCTCCGACGGGACTACGACCTTTACGAGCGTAGGTCTCCGACGTCGGGCCTCAATCTCCGAGCTGTGGCCACCGGACGTCCGACAACCAGATTAGCGACGGGGAGAGCCACCAGGTTTCCCGACGAGTTCCAGGCGACCAAGAATCTTCTTCGGCGAGGAGATTTGAGCGCACCCGCACCAATTCCAGACGAGTAGGCCCGAGCTGATTTCCAGCGACAAGTCGAACCCTTGTTCCGTTTT